CCTAACATCTTCTATGTAAGTTAATATTATAAAGTAACTGACAAACAAATTTGAATATATTAAAAATTCTTAGTGAATTATTCTTGACCTTATTTAAATAGGTTAATATCATAATCGAATAATGCTCTTACAAACAATCTCCACTAGGTCAAATATCTTCGAAGGATTCCACACATCACTTTTTTCAGAGATTGAAGTCTGCTATGACACCCCACTCCAACAGCCTCACAAAGATGTAATTTTCAGATAATTCTTCATGACCCTTCTTAACATGAATAAAGAGCTTGATTATAATTAATAGTATCAATAAAATTTGTCAATATTATATCAAAACATCAATTACGCTCAACAAAGCAAACATCCAAAGGGCTTGACCTCCTATAGGGGGCAAGCTTTAAAAAAAAAATCACTTATATAAAGATTGAGAGTTCATTAATAATTTCATTCATTTAAACAACTTGATTATAAACATTAATCAAATTTCTATATTACATGAATAAACATGCACTTATGGACTATACAAATAAGAAGTCTTAATTCGAAGTCGCATATAAAATTATTGAATTTATATGATATCAACACACTTTATCAATACCACCAAAAAAATTTTTAAGGACTTCTATAGCCTTCATACTCCCACTTCTACCTAACGCGTCCAAATTCTACAACAAAAAATCTTGGGAAAAGCGTAGAGATGCACGCAGTCATCCAAACAAAACAAATCAGGCTAAATTTTTTAGAAGAAATTAAAAAATAAGCAAGAAAATCACTCTAAAATAGGAAAAACCAGCCTATCTAATAAATTTTCACTATTTTTAAATAAATATATATCTTTTTTATCAGCATCACGTCATCAATAATTGGCCATAGCTTCATATTTCATAATTCTACTTTTGTGCCAAAGTTTGAGTATGATCATCATCATACAAGAAGAAAATCAGAGCTCAAAATGAGGCGAAGAACCTCACCTCCAAACTCAATTCATCCAATGAGGCAATCAACTCATTTTTCAAAGAAAGATCAGAGCCTCAACATCTGATCCATTCAACAAAAATAGTCAACACTTTTTTTTTAGAAAAATGAGCAGAGCCTCACTATAAGGATTTTTAGTCTTTATCGCCTCTAAATTTAGAAAAATTATTACTTGTGGACACTGGATGTAGATCTATGTCCGGACTTCAATAAAAATATAATGAGTGGACTAATGTATTACTATTTATTATTGTATATTTAGCTATGTAATGTTATGTATTACTGTGTATTAGCTAGCACACAACAATACACTAATATATTGTTGTGTATTATTGTGTACTAGCTAAAACACAACAATATACAATGATACCTAGTAATACATAGTAATACTTAGTCTACACGTTATATTTTTATTGAAGTCCAGATGTAGCTTCTACATCAGGTGCAAGCACAAAATAATTTCTCCTAAATTCACCCGTGCGACAAAGACAATCAACGCCTTTTTTAAGAAAAGATAAGCCTCATCATAAGAAATGCAAGCTTTGATCACTTCTAAATCAAATTATGTCCGACAAGGACAATCAATACCTTTTTCAAGAGGACACTAAAGCCACCACCACAAGGACAATAAGTCTTGATTGCTTCCAAATCTATTTTTCTTAACGAGGACATTCAACACATTTTCAATAGAAGATTGGAGTCTTAATGGACGGACTATAGCATTCATTGCTTTTAACAATTTTTAAACTCCTATCATATAATTTTTTTACCCTTTACGAAAAAACTAAAGCCTAAATGGAAGAAACACCATTCCCTTAGCCTCCAATGGGGGTATTAATAGATAAAAAAGGGTAGAAAGGTTTGTTAGTTTTTCCAAAAAATTTGCTTCTTAAAGAATAAAAAAGGCAAATAATAACAAAAAAAATTGCATGCACATATGCATCTTAACAAAAACAGAAGGATAAAAACGCCTCAAGGGACAATTTATGCATGCTTGACTGCTTCAGCATTGGCCTTAAAAAAAAAAAACTCATCACTTATGGGAGCTGCTCGCTATAGAGCTAAGACCAAGATCTCCAACTGAATAATACATTCTTCAGTCCACCTTAAAAGTTAATGAGAATAAAATCCAACCAAAAATAATTTATCATACAGTTCAATAAATCTCGAAAGTCTTCATAATAGCTCAAGAACTTGCACACAAAGAACAAAGTAACATTGAAACACACTTGAAATCACAGGCAGTATAAGGAATGAAGCACTAGCAATTAACTGTCTGACTCATCTGAGAAAGACCATCACAAACAACAGCCTTATTTCAACAAAATTCCATGAAAAACCAATAGCTTCATCACAGCAATAGTCAAACAAAATATCAATTCATTCAGCATCGAGTTCAAAAGTGCAAATCATATCAAATCTTAAAGAGATCAGCTAATATGGCTCCCAATAAACAGCTAGCTCAAGAAAAAATTACTACCAACAAAAATAAAAGGCCAGCTCGACGGCAACGTACTTGATTGATGTGGGTACCTACCTTCTATCTTTTATGTTAGCTAAATGAAATTTGTTTTGACTAACACAATATAATTTGAATTTTTTTCTTCAAAATACATCTAGTGATGATCAAAATTCAACACACTCTCAAATTCGAACAATTTGATTCGGAGTGAATATCAGTGACCATTAAGGATTTTACCATATTATTTGTAAATGTCTATGATGCACCTCCTCAAAGAGGCGTGCAGTGTCCGACACCGTGTCTGACACGACACTCGTCCGACACTCCTGCGACACGTGTCGGACACGCCGAAAACGTGTCCGATTAAAAAATATTAAATGCAAATTGGACACGCGTGTCCGACACGCGTATCTTAAATACTTTATGAATTTTTTTAAATATAATTTCTTATATTTTGCGGGATTTAAAGTAAATTTCTTATTTCCTACCCACAACACAAACTCAACGTCCGCACTTAATTCCTAATCATCGAATATTCTCATTTTCATTTCTTTTTGGCAATGAAGATATTTTCATCTCTTCTCTCGGTGGCTGATAAATAGCATTAACACCTGACTCTCGACGCCTGAAATATTAATTGTTGTTTTTTGAAACTTACCAAAAAAAAAAAAAGCTAATGTACATGCTCGGTACTGCTAGGTATCGCTAGGTACATGCTTAGTACTGCTAGGTACCGCTTAGTACATGCTCGGTACCGCTAGATACAAGCTCGGTACCTAGTTATCATGAAATTGATTTATTATTGCTTGTAATTTTTAATATAATGTCACATTAATTTCTATATATTATATTAAAAAATTATTATGCCGTGTCCACGCCGCACCCGTGTCCTATAATTTTAAAAAATGCCGTGTCCCGTGTCCGTGTCATGTCGTGTCCGTGTCATGTCGTGTCCATATCGACGTGTCCGTGTCGGTGCATCATAGATAAATGTGCTATTTGGTTTTCTTGGTTTTAGCAGTTGATGAAACACCGTTTTTTTGTTGAACATAAGCATGATAGATACTTTTGGCTAATCATGTAGCTTATGCGGTAATTCTTATTATCAGTGTTCTAAAAAAATTATATTAAAGTTGTAGTGTGAATTATTGATAAATTAAGTTAACATTATCCATTAAAATTTTGGGCGAGAAATAATCGAGCATGGGCTATGACGTGATACTAATGTTTCTCAAAATCCGTTTGAATTCATGTCGGGCAGGTCTGCTATAAAAGCTATATATTTGTTGAGATGTTTGATGGAGAAATATGGATAAAGTAAAGAGGATCTACATATGATATTTATTTATTTAGAGAAAGCATATGAAAAAATTTCAATAGAAGTGTTCTAGAGAGTTCTAGAAAAGAAAGGAGTTAATAATGCTTATATATAAGTCATTAGAGATATGTATATAGGAGTTGTTACTTGTGTTCAAACATGAGGTTGTTTGACCAAATATTTTCTTATTTCATTTGGATTACATCAAGGATCACCTTTAAACTTATATTTTTTGTTTTAGTCATGAATGTTCTTTTTAGATAGTTGCAAGAGGATGCACCTTACTATATGCTTTTTGTTGATGATATTCTTCTTGTTGATAAGACTAGAGTATGAGTTCATGAAAAAATTGAATTATGGGGGTCAACCTTAGAGATTAAAAGCTTTCGTTTGAGTAGATATAAAATTGAGTACATGAAGTGTAATTTCAATAGTAATAGATCTATGGTGGGACTATGACATTGCATGACTGAAGTCTTTAAAAAAGGGTGTATGTTCTAGATATCTCAGGTCTATTGTGCAAAACGATAGTGAAATAGATGGGGATATTATTAGTAGAATTCAAGTTGGATGGTAGAATTGGAGGAATGCAACGGGCCTATTGTGTGATAGAAAGACACCCCTCAAACTTAAGAGAAATTTTATAAGATGATTGTGAGACCTACAATGCTTTATTGGGCACAATGTTGGTCATTACAAGTGAAGTATCAAATTAAGTTAAGTTTTTTAGATATGAGGATGTTCAAGTGAATGAGTGGCTTCACACTTAGAAACAGAATGCAAAACGAGTATATACGTGAAAAAGTTGGAGTAGCTCTAGTGGCAGATAAGATTAGAGGGAGTTGCCTTAGATGGTTTGGTCGCATAAAACGTTAGTCTTTCGATAACATTGCTAGGAGATTAGATGCATTAGATCTGGCCTATGTTAAGAAAGGTAGAGACAATACTAAAAAAACTTGATTAAATTTTAGCATAGATTAGCCTTTCGATAACATTGCTCTCTATTGTATCATGTTAAGATCAAATTCTCATTTAAATCTAAAAAAAAAGTCATTTCTAATATTTTCTATCTGAGTCATTTTAGGTCTACCTCTACCTTACTTAACATAAGTCAAATCTAATACATCAAACTCTCCTAACCGGGTCATCGGAAGGCTGCCGTTTTATATGACCAAACCATCAAAGGCACCTCTCTCAAATCTTATCTTCCACTAGAGCTACTCCACTAGCTCTTCTAAAATTAGCAACTCAACAAAATTAACTTCAAATAAATTTCAAAACCAATGTATATAGAGTTATCGTCTTATTTTGACAAATGAAAAGTAAACTATCCATACCAAATTCTAATATAACATTGCAGAGTTATAACCGGATGGCAAAGAACCTTAAACCTTGCATCTCGAGGAAATGAGAGAGAGATCATGTCTTCATCGCTGGTCTCACAAGACCTAAGCCTGAACCACTTCCCAAATGCTTAAATTCAGTGGCCTCCAAATGCTCCCCATGTCCGGCAAAACCAGTTCCACCTTTCTCCAAGAACACCAAGTTCTTTTCCCTGCATTCCTTGTTACACACCAGGCAAAACTTATCCTTGGCAATGAACCTATCCGCACACTTCTTGCAGAAGACATGACCACAAGTATTAATGGCCACAAGAGAGAGTGTATTCGTAAGGGTAACCTTGCAACTAGGGCAGATGTAATTGCTATCCACAGACTTGGACCTCTTATTCTCTTTGTTATTGTCTTCAGTGAAGTAGATAGAGAAGAGAGTTTTCAACTTGAGTTTCTCTTTGCCCTCTGGGCATATGGTGTCTGAAGATGGAGCATCAACTTTAACAGGAGCTTCAGGAGTTGCAGAAGGCAGCCAGAAAGCTTTCATTGTGCGAAGGGCTTCCTCTTCATAGGATGTTACCTTCACGCTATTGGCTCCATGGAAGCCATTCTTATCACGGGAGTGGCTCTTGTCATTGTATTGGGGAACGGCTCCATGATTTTGCTGATCAAATGCATCAATTTCCCGAGCTTGTTGCAATGACAACCTTTCCAATTCCTCATCTTTTTGTTGCTTCTGTTGAGCAGCATGAGCAGCTAATTTTCTATATACAACAAAGACAGGAAACATCTTCTAAGAAAGACTGAAAACTTAAAATTTCAACAGTTAAAACTAAGATTAAGGGTTTGCATGCAAAACAAATTATAAGAGAAATGTGGTAGTATAATTTTATGTTGTAGTAAACCAATTCACCAAAGATTAATTCAATAGCCGATCAATTAACCTTTGTAAGTAAGTAGATTGTAAGATATCGGTCTTAACTTCAACTAAATAGGCATTAAAATAGTTAGGCTGCGACAATTGTGACTAAAAAGTTATAGCAGTGAATTATGAAATTCTTTACAAAAGAGATATAAAGCTTCATTCAAAAATCATACCTACAACGTATATTAATGGGGAGAGCTTCATGAACTAGGCACAGATTTGAACATTTAAAGCATTGGATCCTCGAAAATAATATTATTGAAATAAAAACACAAATTTCAACGTTCTCTTTCAACTTTAAATCAGGAGTAGTACAATCAATTTATTTTTTCTCTTAAACTTCCCCATCAAAAGAAAATAATATATGGATCATTTTTTCCCTCCCACCAAATCTTTTAGTCCAAGCCAAGCAGGCAAGCAAGGAATGAATGTGAGGACCACTCGCCTCTGCCAAGGATTCTACTCCACAACGCCTGCTATAGCAGACCGCAGATCACAGCATAGCACTCATATTATAACTAACTGTACTTAATCTATCTATATATATACAAACACCAATATAATAAGGTACAGTATTCTGATATCAAAAGGAATTTCTCAGATTATATTCTTCTATTATTCCTTTATCTTTTAACTTCTCTCAGACCTTTTCATGGTATCAGAGCAGTAGCTTCATTGCTCTCCTTCCAACTCACCATGGCCGACCAAGCATTTGCATCGTCTCCCCCACCCAACTCAAATCTCTCTGCCTCTATGGCCGACTTCACTGTTCCACCACCTCTAAAGCTCCTCATGTCCAATCTCAAACATATAGTCACCACTCAACTCACTAACGACAACTATGCCATTTGGTGTCTTCAAATTTGTCAACATTTTTCAGCTAACGGATTCGAAGGCTACCTCACTGAAACTCAAACCCATCCGCCATACCCTTTGCCCACCTCCCCAAACCCGGACCTACACCTGTGGTGTTTAATTGATCGCAATTTGATCTTTGCCCTTTTCTCCACCATATCACCAGTTGTTTTGCCCTATATGATCAATCTTACCTCTGCTCATGACATCTGGATTACCTTGGAAAAGAGACTTCAACCTACAAATTGATCACGCGTTATCCAACTCAAAAATGAGCTTCATCACATCCAAATGCGTGACTCCTCCAAGTCTTAGTACCTAGCTCAAATCAAAACCTTAGTTGGCAACATTGCAGTGGATGGATCACACATTGATACAGAGGATATCATCTTAAGCCTCCCCTCCACATACAACTCCTTCAAAACGGCGATCCGCACATCCCTAAACCCCATCAGCCTCGACGTCCAATATTCTCTCCCGTGCAACATGAAAATAAATCTTCAAGCTGAACATCTGAAGGACACCTCCCTAACCTCAGACAACCAAGCTCTCTTCTCCTACCATTCCGCTAAATCTAGAGGCTGCAACAATTCCACCCCTCAAGCTCATTCTCTCGCATACGAGGGGCATCACCGCATCCATCTGCTTATTCTCCCAGAACCCAAGTTTCCCCGCAGACACCATCATCTCATATAACTTGTCAGATTGCGGCAAACAGAGTCACTCCACCCTCAACTATTGGCATCGTTGCAATCTTCAATTTGCTCCACCATCTTCCTAGAACTCTAGAGCACTACTCAGTCAGTACAAGCCCTCCCCAACAATTGATTGGGTACTTGATTCAAGTGCCTCTACACACCTGACATTTGACACCTCCAATCTCCAACAACCCATTCCCTACAACGGTTCTGACTCAATCTCCATTGCCAATGGTAGTAATATGCCCATCCAACACAGTGCCCAGGGTCTACTTCCTTTGACAGATTTTGCTCGTAAGCTTCATCTTCACAATCTCCTCCATGCCCCATCCCTCTCTCATAATCTGCTTTCTAACTCTAAACTCATCGCTGATAATCACGTCTCTATCTCTTTTGATGCTCGCGGTTTTGTTATCAAGAATTTTTATGACAATCGCATTCTACTATGTAGCCCCAGCCGTGATGGCATTTACCCTGTTCGAACTACATCCACCTTCACCTCCATAGCTCTTCAAGCTACATCAGCACCTTCATCCGTCTGGCATGTGCATCTTGGTTATCCTCACCAACACCTCTTTTCCACTTTAGCTAAATACATACTATCCTTATGTAATCTTTCATCTTCCTTTGTCTTCATCTCTTGTTATGTGGTCAAAAGCTACAAGTTACCTTTCAATACAAGTGTTACTTCTACTAAACCGTTTTAATTAATTCACTCGGATGTATGGGGTCCGACACCATTACCTTCTCTTAATGGCAATCGATACTATGTTATTTTCATTGATGATTTCACTCATTTATACTGGTTGTACTTGATGAATTCTAAACAAGAAGCCTTCAATTAATTTCAGCAATTCTGCTCACTAATAAAAAATAGCTATAACTCCACCATTCAGGTTTTCTGATCGAATGGTTGATGAGAATTTACAAGCAACAATTTTAAATCATACCTATTATCTCATGGCATCTCCCATCAATAAGTTGCTCGTATACTCCTTAGCAGAACAACCTTGCCGAAAGGAAGCACCGACATCTCATTGATCTCACTCAGACACTATAACATGCCACCAATCTCCCATTACACTTCTGGGCTTAGGCCCTCACAACCTCCAATTATCTCATTAATCGACTTTCGACCAAGGCGACCAATCTTCAAATACCATTTCAACACCTCCACGTCAAACCTCCATCCTACGCTCATCTCAGAACATTCAGCTATATATGTTTTCCCTGGTTGCAACCTCAAGCCCCCAACAAACTCTCGCCCCGCTCTCAAGAGTGTATCTTTCTCGGCTACTCAACCACTCATAAAGGCTACAAGACCCTAAATCTTCATACAAACAAAATTCACATCTCTCGACAAGTTGTGTTTCACGAGCAGACATTTCCTTATACATCAACTCCGCCAAATACTTCTCCCAACTCACTATCCACTAGCTACTCTCCTCTACTCATATCTACAACCACCATTCCACCATACCCTCCTCTTCCATCCCTAATTCTTCCATTACACATTCTGTCATAACACCAAACCACACTTCACCCACCACCTCAGCCCGTTCTACTTCCGGTTCACCAATACAATCGCATATTCCATCTCCAGCTGCACCAGCCAAGAGTTGAAATTTCCCTGCCAAGGATTCTACTCCACAACGCCTGCTATAGCAGACTGCAGATCGCAGCACAGCACTCATATTATAACTAATTGTACTCATTCTATCTATATATACAAACATCAATGTAATGAGCTACAGAATTCTGATATCAAAAGGAATTTCTTAGATTATCTTCTTCCTGTTATTCCTTTGTCTTTTAACTTCTCTCAGACCTTTTCAAAATCCCTAACTGTCTTCCCTCTACCCCCAATCTGAACCTAGCGATAACCACCACCAAGAGTTGAAATTTCCATCAGTTCCTCCACGAACCCCAAAACAAAGTTGATAATTTAAGTATGTTTCATATCCAATTAACCAAGAATTTCCATAATCTAAAGAAAATGCTAGATCTGATTTAACAAGATAGAATAACCAGAGGAGGGCACCTCTTGATGTCTTTCTTTTGGGCAAGGAGGCACTCGAGGATGCACTCTTTGCAGAAAACATGACCTTTCTGGCAACAAAGCGGATCGATGAACGGCTTGAGGCAGAGGCAGCAAGTGTCAAAGGGCTTGATGGAGTCCTTCCCCAATCGCTCCTTTTGTGTTCCGTACCCTAGCTTCCGCTTCTCGTCGTAGGTGAAGAAGGCAAGATCATTGTTGTTCTTCGAGTGCCGCTGAGGCATCGTCGCCTTCTTCTCGTCAATTCTCAACCCTCTGACGACCCACCTGATTGCGGAAAAATCAAGAGAGGATTCCGATTTAGCTAACTTGATAGCAGGGCTGTCATTGACACGATCCGAAACTCAATTCCAATAGCAACCGAAAAAATTTGGGTCCCACCCGGTTAGCAAATGGGTTGGACTCGGATTTAAAAATCTGACACGAGTTGAGTTTTTCATAAACTTATATGATGAAATGAATGATAATCTAATTCTTTAAGTATTTACAATTTTATATACGGCTAATTTACATATATATTATATAGTTTTAATGTATTTACATATCTAATATTTTTAAACTTTTATATTTACCAATAAATATATAAATTATATAAAAAATATCAAACACGCATATATATATATATATATATATATATAGACTAATATGATTGTAAAATTGAGAGAAAACTAAAAAATGAGAGCCAAAATCTGGATCTAGGAGGAAAAAGGGACAACAATAAATAGCAATCAACACAGAACATCTTTAAAGCGAAACATTATTATGAGTGGTGTCTGAACTCATCCGAAGGCCAATTCGGACTCGTTCGGATAACGCACAGAATAACTTGCCCCTCAAAACATCCCTTATGCACCAACCACAAAAATCAAAATGATGGCATTAGGAAAAGTCATTGGGCAAACATATAACAATCATTCAGCAAAAACGATAGGCCTAGCACTAAAAATCTCAAGGATAAATGCAAGAGACATTGCAAAGTGAGATGGTATCAAAATTCCACAAAAAAAAAAAAAAAGCCAAAGAATGTGGGAAACTACAATAGCCCAAAGCAAAATTTCACCAACCAAATAGGTTCTTAAATGAATTAGAGAAGAGAACCACAAGATCATGAAAGGTAAACAAGGAGAAAAGCAAGTGTACTAGGCAAACCCTGCTCCGAAATCTTTAACCAACATCAACAACTCAAGTAAAAATTTAAACTGCAATCTATATGCTTTAATGAGCCATAATAATTTCCACTTTGACCTCAATTTTAGTAAGGTAACTTTGTTTCTCATGCCATGTGTATATTAGGATATAAGTGATGAGCAAATGGAGCCGTTAATAGCATTGTGGGCTAAAGTAGACGATGTCAAAAATTATAACAAAGCGGGTTGAAAAAGGAAGAAACTCTCTTAAATAAGTTCCTTATCAACAACATGGAAACAATGCATTCAAAATGTAACAACTACAGATTCTTGCATCTATTTTGACTGGATTAAATCCAAAGTATAACAACTACGGTTCAACCTGTTTTGACCTGATTTGAACCAAGATAATTTACTGCATTCTTGCATTTAACTCATTTGCATGCATCTAGAAATATTTTGTAAGCATGTATTCTAATGCGGGTACCAGGGATCTGTGTGCATGCCTGTGAAAACTGAAAAATTTCCCTTGAATGTTGCGGCATTGGGTCTGGCGGCATCTTAGCTTTGTGCTCTCTGGAATTTGCCCATTTAATTCAATGCAGCGGTGTTGAGGGTGGCGCCGTGGAGCTATGTGCTCGTTAAGAGAGCGTTGCGACATGCATGATCGAGCACCGCAACATTGGGTCTTAATTTCAAAATCAAAATATCAGTTTTCACTATTTCATTTTTATTCCATTCCCTCAAGATAGCCGACTAGAGAGAGAGAAAGAGGATTAATCCTAAAGAGAGAAGGTCAATTTTGGGTGAGTCTATTACATTTTTTATTTTCGGTCTCGTTTTGACAATTGGCTGGATCGATGTAGGTTGCATTGCCAATCTCAATTTTTAACAATACGAGAATTTTAGAAATTTTATGATTTAATTTATAATCCTTAAAAAAATTTTGAGGATAAAGTAATATATGTAAAACTTTTACTATGTAACTTTTTGTATTTTATAGATAATATAATTCTAAATATTTAGGCATTTTTCTTGGACATTTTCACTGGATAAATTAGAAAATGTAGGGTTTTTGGCAAATTAAAAAATAATCCTGGTTCTAAAAAATAATCTTGAAGTAAATTAAAGCTTCATAGTAATGACGTGAACAATCTCTAATAATTTGGTTATATTTTCAAAATGTGTATTTTTGCTCAGTAGTATATTCCGCTACCTTCCATTAAAGCATTATGTTAAATTCTAAAAATGAGTTTACTTATATTTTGTTTACTACAATGTAATGAGTTATATGCTTATTTAATTTAAACGTATGATTTTAAGGAAATCTGGTATGGATGGAGGAAGTTCTATTCTAGTGTTAAATGAATATTATAGTGCCACATATACATTTTGGTGTTAAATGCATATTCTGTTATGGTGCTATATGCATATTCTATTATTGTGTTTAGTATTGGGAGTCATAAGAACATATTTTTGATATACATGCACGGGAGTCATAAGGGTTAGAATTCTCTAAATTTTGTTTTGATTAGGGCTGTCAATTCGGGTTGCCGGGTCGAACCCAAACTGGCCCGAAGCTAAACTGGCCGACCTGAACCCGACCCGTTTAGCTATACGAGTCCAATAGCAGAACCCGGACCCGACCCGCCAACCCAAACTTTTTTGGGAAAAAAATGTTAAACAAAAAAATTTATGAAATTATATGACTAATAAAAAAAACAATGAAACAATAAATGAATACAAAAAATTATGATGAACAAACAAAAACTCTAATTTCTATAATACAAGATACATTACAATTTTTAAATTTACAATTTACAAATACAAAATACAAATATTGAAATATACAATGATAGTATGATACTTGATACATTACAAATTTACAATTTATAATTTGCAAATACACAAAAAATAGTAAATCACAAGTCACAACCAGAGTTGTTGTTGGATGTTGCTCATTGCTCAAGTCGTCAAGCCTCAAGACTCAAGTAGTTAGCTTCTTTGAAGTTTGAACTTTGAACCATCTATTATTAATGAACCTGCAAGGCTGCAACAAAATTAAGTAAAATCTACAAGCTCAAGAGTCAAGTCAAGCCTCAAGGTCAACTGGTCAAGGAATCAGTGAATCACAGGCTTAGGCTTTAGGGCCTTCGGCTCAGAATAAACCTAGTGAAAATTGAAGCATCATTTGCTAGTCTGCAACAATTTTAAAATTTTGCCCTCCAAGATTACAAATTGATACAGATTTTATAATTTTAGTATCTATTCAGTGAAATAGTATATATATGCTCAAATCAAAAAAATCTTATTTCCTCAATTTGTAAACTAGTTGCAAAACATTTTTATTTATGTATTGGCACTGTTCTATATATTCACAAGGTTCTTCATCATTGCCATATTATAATAATAAACTAACATCAACAGAATTTCAGAAGATAAGACCAAGTGAGCAACAGAGGCACAGAGCAAACCAAAAATGTTTTTTTGCAAGCTGCACTGCTGCAGGCTTGCAGAGTCGCAGACAAATATGCAAGCAGCAAGCTGCACTGCTGCCGACGACAAGTGACAACGGCCACAATAGGCTACAAGGCTACAAGCCAACAATGAACAATCCAGCATAAGTACAATACATAACCTGATATCCATCAACCAAAAGGATTCAGGCATCAAATACCTAAACATGCCAACAATCCAACATAACCAATTAACTATTTAACCATCAGGAATTCAGGATTCTAAGATTCTTGCATCAAAGGCACCAACAGGAGTACAGGACAACATGGCAAATTTGCAACAATCCAACATAACCATCAGCCATCGGGATTCACTATTGAATGTTAAAAAATAGTTAATTGGTGCTAGACAGAAGACCTTAAAGGTCCAAAACCAAATGTCAAAAACATCAAACTACAAACCCTAATCTACAAAAACTGCAAACCCTAACTTCCAGATTGATAAATTATGAAATAAAGGAAGAGTAGAAAAAATATAAATTCATATAATAGTAGATCTGTAGAATTGTAGATCAGTCGATCATAAACTAAAACTCAGCAAAATGCCAAAATACTTCTAAAAAAACTAAACAGTCTTACAGACCAAGCCAAAGGTGCAAACTGAGAGTGCGAACGGCCTAGAGGAAGGCAAGAAGCGAGAGAATCGGAGAACGGAGTCGGAGATAGAGAAACCCTAACTCAGAAATGAGAAATCCCTAACTTATCCGCTGATCCGCTCGATGCCTCGTTGGCTCGACCGCTCGCGACTCGACATTATTAAAACTCTCATTGACGCGGGTTGTTTTCGGGTCGGAATCGGGTTACCGGGTTGACCCGAACCCAACCCATTTATTAAACGGGTCGACCCGAACCCGAATTTTTCTGGTCGGGTCATTTGTTGACAGCCCTAGTTTTGATGAGAGGTATAATGGCTTGAGGAAGAGCTATTATTTTTGCTTTAATATATGAAGTACTTATTTATTTACTTTCATTTATTACTATTCATTTTTATGATAACTACAAGTACTATTCTGGTTAGTACTATAATCATTATGAATTATTTTAAAACTAATCTAAATGCTTAATACTGATTATTTAAAAATTTAGAATGGTAAGTGCAGCCTGTTGAACTTAAATTAAAAAAAAAAAGAAAATCTAAAAGTTCCCCAAAACTTTCATCTTGGGTTGGTCTATTGCAAAAGCCAACACGTTAATTAGAGTAATATTTTTGGGAAACTGATTGTAAATATAGCTATAAAATTTAATCTGCAAGTCAACTTAGATAATTTTGGGTATGATTGGGTATTCATTTTTGCTTGTTTTCAAGTGCATATTTGTTCAGCTATGTGTTCTATGTGGTTATGGATCCGTAAGACCTACATATAATAGATAAACAGAGTATTAGTCAGGAAGCACCCGTACGAAGCACCACTCCTACAGTTAGTTCTGATAATGTTACATAATTTGCCAATTTGATAGGCTAGCTGATGGCGAGCCATAGAGCATGATTTTTTCTATTAGATTTGATTATATAAACCGACATTTATAGATATTTCTAAGATTCAAGCCATTGCATTTGAGGGCGTTGTTAAGCCCAGAGTAGTAGAGGATCGGCTGAGGAGGTCGTTGGAGAAGATATTTAACGACATATAATGTCCTCTTTAGAGGAAGTTACATTGGCTATTTTTTTGCTA